GCGCGATGCCAGTTCAAGACCCCCTACTTCTCTGTTTGTAAATAAAAAAATCAGCTCACCCACGTACTCTTCCTATCCACTCACTTGCTCCTACCCGCTCGCCTGCCGCCTCCAGCGCTCGATCGCTAGCACAGCTAGGCGCGGCGCGCGACCGCCTCCGAGGCAGAGCGCTTGGGTGCCGACCCTGCCAGGACACTCCAGCACGTCGCCGCCGCCATCCCCCGTAGCGCCTCCATCCCCCGCCACGCCAAGACCATCCTCCGCCGAGCCCAGGGTACGCTGGCCCAGGCCGTGGAGCAGAGGTGCTCACCCATGCCGTCGAGCAGGTCCTTGCCTAGAGGCGCACTGACGAGCTCCATGCACTACGACGACGTCGAGCTCTATGATTCGTCCAAGTAGCAATGTGACATTGCACGCTGGAAACGCATGTTGCAATAGTATGTTTCAAGTGTTTCATATATTTCATCTAGATGTTGTAATTGTTTCATGTGGATGTTGCAAAAGTAGATCAGAATGTTGCATATGTTGCAATGGTTGTACACGTATGTTGCAAGCTTTTATTCCCAATGTTTCAGTTGTTTTCCAGACGTATGCTGCAAGTGTGTTTATCTGAATGTTGCACGTGTTTCACATATATGTTGCATGTGTTTTATCTAGATGTTGCATATATTTGGCAATGGCTTTTCAAGCATTTTTAAATATTTTTATAAGTGTTTCAGACGTACGTTGCAAGTGTTTCAGCTGTTTTAGAACGTACGTTGTAAATGTTTCATTTGGATGTTTCAAAAGTAGAGATCAGGTGTCGATCTCCCTCCACGCTTTCTACTGCCTCGCCTCGGTGTCTTCTTCTCTTCTCGATGTTGATGATGTTCGGGCGATATGGGTCCGTGTAGAGACGAACGGTGTGGGTAGGGTGAGTCGTTCGAGCGGCGTTGAATCCGAGCAGGTGGGGTGTGCGGAACAGAGCAGGAGTGGCGTGTGGGCGCTAGTTGTTCCGTTAACAGTATATACTCGCCGACAGGTGCTCCTCCCGCTCGAGTCTCCGCGCCGGTCGTGTAGTCTCCGCGTGGCGCACGCACGGTTCCAGGCGCGTACGTGCGCGCGTCCACCGCGGCGACGAGGCTGCCAGTGCCAGCTCGCCCCGGTGCCCGTGCTCGGTTCGGTTGAACCTGCGCACGTCGGGCGGGGTCCGCAAAAGCAGCTCGCCACGCCACGCACGGCACGTCGCGCTTCGGTCGGTCAAGTCGCCGCAGGACCAGCTCCGTTGCCGGCCACCCACCGCCTGCACGCCGGGCACCGGAGTCGCACGAAAAAGCGCGTGTCTGACCGACGAATCCAAGTGGAAAAGGTTGCCCTTTCCTTCCACGTCCTCAGGCGCGACACGGTGGCCGTGCGCGTAAGCGGACTGCAGTCTGCGCTTCTGCAGACCAGCATGCCGTCCATTGGTTCATTTCGTACGGTTAGGATAGTCTGGTAGCGACCTCACTCAAGTGAAGGCCAAGAGGGGATAGCTCGATCGTGACCGAGAAATCCACCGGAGAAAATTAAATGTGACGCCGCACGGTGCTGGACAAGGACGGAGTTGTTCGCGGTTGGATGTAGGGGGCCGGAGTTGCTGACTGCTTCCCTGTAATTCTTTGTTAAGAAATTGACTATCTGTATGATCACTTTCCTTTTTTTAAACCGAGATATAGGCTAATGAGTCTATGTAATATATTCCTTGCAGCAAAAAAAATTATCTTAAACTACATGTTTTTGTGACTGGAGGGATTACCACGATGGCTACATATACACACATACTGATGATCATAACTGATCTTCCTCCGTGATTTGATCCCTTTGTCCTCGCCATTATTGCGCAGTCACTTGCATTCAGCAACATGCGCCACTTTTGCACAAATACAATGAAGAAATTTTGAAAAGCACTACCTTAGAGGTTTTGTTCGGTTTAATTTAAAGAACCACCTCACCAAATGAGGTTTTGCATCCTGAGTTCACCTTATGATATTTGGTTGAATGACTCAATTTCTCCTCATGGTTATTGTAATAGTTAGCCGTGATGAATGTGATGGCTATAGATAATTCATTTGATTTCACAAAGCAAAAAAAAAAAAAAGTGACAAGATAATGAATCACCCTGCTACTTAGACCGAACATACCTTAGAACAACGAGAGAAGTTTCTTCTCAAATTTCATTATTTTCATTATCTTGTTCAGTTAGTCCATATTGACCACACTGGTCACTGCAAACGCAAGCAATGTCAGAATAGTGAATATGCATCTCCCTAATATCTCATCTTTGGCTTGCTTGCTCCTTGTATAACCCCTGACGCTTGTAATGGCCCTGTTCGTTTCGCTGAAATTTGAAATTTGGTTTATGCTTATGCTGATGCTGATTTGTTGTGAGAGAAAAATAATGTTCGTTCGCTGAAAAGTACCGCTGAAGTAGTGAGAGGAAAACACGGTTCCTCCTCTCTTGCAATCACTATAGTGGCAACGTCTGGCAGCTGCAACCCCCCCCCCAAAAAAAAAACACCACATAAGGGCAGACTAGAACTATGAAAGTAATTTTACAGAAATTATTTTATTTCCATAGAGAAAAAAACAGAAAACAAAAAAGAAACCATGTTCCAAAACACTAGAAATTTTCATGGAAGTCTATAATTCAAATTAAGGGTCTGTTTAGAATGTGAAAAAAATTTATAGCCTATATTTTTCTGTGAAATTAAATTGATTCATTGAAAATTTTTACACGACTCTCGTAAAATTCTTGTGTTTCAAATAGGCCCCTAAGGAGAGTGGGATTGCCTGCTTGTATGAAGCGAGGAAGAGGGTTCGGATGGATATGGATAGAAACGAGATTACGAGAAGTAGAGAGCGGCGAACGACAATGTTCGCGCTAGCGGCGGCGGCGGCTCGGCTGTGGGACATCGACTGGAGCAGGCCTATCATTTACTTGGCCTGTTTTTTCCTCCGCTAAACGGGCCACGACTCTCAGGCTATGGCCTGTTGTTCGTCCGGAAGGCCTTTCTCTCTTTTTTTTTTGGGTTTAGAAGTCTGAGAAAATAGCCACGAGAAAATAGTCGTATGCTTAGAAGCCTCTAAGAAGGAAATATGCTTAGAAGCCTCCGAGAAGGAAAAACTGCTTCCTTGGAAAAAAGAGCGGGCTTGCTAGCGCTCGGACGTTCGGATGTCCATGTCTATAGCTGTTTCCACACTCACGCGGGGTCTGCGCCGCCCCAAACGTCACCGGCATCGAGAAGATGGAGAAGGGACGACAGATGCCAGCTGGCGCCAGGAGGAGACACATAGGCGAGGCAGCAAGTGAGGAGGGAGATACAACATCTGATCTACTTTTGAAACATGCAGATGCAACAGTTGCAATATACGTCAGAAGGCAGATGAAATATTTGAAACATGCATCTGAAACACTTATAAAAACATATAAAACCATTGTAAAACATATGTAACATCCAGATAAACATTTGCAACATATGTGTAAAACACATGCAACATATAAATAGACACATGCAACCAATGTTTTCCTAAACAGTAAATGGTTTTTACACTGTCGCCCTTCGTTTAGCGTTTAGGCTGTTTACACGGTGTTTAAACGAAGTTAAATGGTTTAAACGGTTTTGTATTTAAAAAAAAATACATATAATTATATATGTGCATGTAAAAAATCAAGTATTCTAGCATTTATACATATTTATCCGAGTAAAAATCAATTATTTTGGTATGTATATATATTTATGCATGTGAAAAGAACCAAATATAGATATTTATGCATGTAACATATAAAGTGTACACATCTATAAATATAATAAATTTAAGTATACAAATTTATCCATACAAAACTGAACTAGATTTACCTCGTGTTCGTCTAAACGGCCGTTTAAACAGCTGTTTAGCTCGTTTAATGCTGTTTATCTCCGTTCCGTTTAGGCCGTTTTCCCCGTTTTTTAACCATTTAAACGGTCAACCGTTTAATTTCCGTTTACCCCCTAAACAAAACAATTTACCACCGTTTATCATTTACTGGCCGTTTAAACGGCCGTTTAATCCGTTTAGACGAACACTGGATGCAACATGCAACATACGTTTGAAAAAAAAAACAGATGAAATATTGGGAACAGAAGCTTGCAACATACATGTAACAACCATTGCAACATCCGTATGAAACACTTGCAACATGCATCTAAAACATCTAAAACACTTGAAACATACGTTTACAACATGCACTTTCAGCGCAACATCTCCTTACTACTCGGGAGAATGGAGGCTCGTCGACGTGTGGAGTTCACCGGAGGCAGCGGCCCAAGGCGAGGAGCGGAGAAGATGACGTCCACCTCGAGTTCAACGAGGCGATGGACGGATCTCGAAAGAATGGCAGTCAGCGGTCTTCGGCTCCCACCCTAAGTTCAAGGAGCCAGCAGTCCGACGGTTCGGGGTGCGAGGGAGCAAGAGTGGGCGGCGCAGCAGGTAGGCAGGGAGGGCAGCGCGATGCCGAGTCGAAGCAGCGAGGAGACAGTGGGGGCGCGCGGCTGTGCTGGTGGTCGGCGGGGCTGCCGCGTGGCGCAGGCGGCGACGCAGTGGGGAAGAAAGGGGGGCCACGAGACACAACGACCAATTCTTTTTTTTTTTTTTGAGAAACTCCCAAGCAAATAAAAAGGATAGTTAGATTAGCGTCGCAGCCCAGCAACAGCGTCCAGATGACCCCTTCCCAGCATCGAGGAAGGGTATCGTCGTATGTTTATAGTGCAGTTAATTGTTCCCTGTTTCATGTATTTCACCACCCTAAACATAGCTCAGGTCTAAACAACACCAGGCCAAGTGCCAAAAATCCCCATTGAAAAACGCCACTCGTCGTACAGACAACAGACATTTCGAGTAGCGATAATCCGATAAAAAGTGACTACTATACTTCATACACCACTTGGCAGGCTGTACCACGACTGCTGTACATCCAGTCCACACATGAAATATGATAAACAGATTCAGGCGGACAAGCCATGCACCATAAAATGTGTCAGAAAAAGGCAATGAACATTTGGGCCAAGAATGCAATGATGAATTCTTCCAAAAATGAAGTGAATAATGAACTGATGAAGAGCACTAATAATGTAGCTGTATAAATAAAGAATAAACAATGAACGAATAGGGCAGGGTATACAATCAACCTGAATGTCAGTAAAGGAGTATCTATTCACAAGGCTCAGGTTCAGCATTGTAACTGTATCTAGTGCTGTATGCCTGGATCGTGCTGTAGCTGTACCAAGCAACACAATGGATCATTCATGGGATAAAGCCACAAGGGCTACGTCCAGGCCACCACGGACGGGGTCGAAACGGTCAAGCAATATTGAGTCACCAGTATGAAGCAAACTCCCGCATGGATATTAAAACAACAACCAGTGCTTCTTTCTAGGCTTGTATTTGCTAGGGAGATCTGCACAGCAACAAGTACTTCCTTTTCTTAAAAGATGGGTACACATAGCAAGATTTCACATTAATGTATTTCAGACATGCCATACGCAAGTTACGTTAAGTATATGTGGTTCTGACCTCGAGCATCGTACAGTGAGTTATAGTGAACTTCCGACCAAAAACTCAGCCAAATCTCTGAAAAAGCATAGGGTTTTAGGGTCAGTAATCATAGCTACATAACTTTTATGTCCACCTATGTTTAGCGAAGTGTGCAGTGATCATGAAGGTGTATGCATAAACTAATAATAATGCTGAAATAGCATATTGCTCAGTGTGAGGACTGAACAGTATGAAGAGTTTTCTATGTAGCTGATCCGCTAGTAGTCACTAATAAGTATAACAAAGGAACCTTACCTCTCTGTGGAGTTTGATATTGAGGAACAATTTCAACAAAACAGGTATCTCTGAATGATGTAAGAAGACATATCTTTGCAGCAAACTGCCAAAAGTACATGAAAAAAATTAGACATCTTTCTCCAGACTCCAGGCAACTCATGTTCAATAGTAAATATGAACATAGACTGCCCTTATAGAGTAGAAAACTATGAGTATGTGTTTGCCTCAGAAGTATGGTGATTTTAGTGAAGCACAATGCAAATATGAATTGATATATGATGAATTTAAAAGCACTACAACAATACAAGATCATTGAGGTTCTATTTTAAGGCTATACCATAGACAACATATGTTATCTTTGTTTTGTATTTCAGTAAGATACGAAAATAATAGCAATCATTTGCATGGTAGTGCAATGGCTAAATGTCTTGCAATGATGCCATAAGTTGCATGAAAATTCAGTTGAGCAAATGATGTTAGAAACATAGCATAAAAAGAGAATTAACCTTGTCTGCAGCTGCTTGTAGCGTGACATGGTCACCCCATTCACCAGACCTGTAGAAGATAGTTTTCAATGACACCACTGTCAGAAAAACACAAATTCAGTGACTTCTGTTATTGAAGCGGCAAAGTTAATATTAGCAATATACATACTTCTTCATTTTTTTGCAATAATGTTTATATTTCATTGGAACGTAACCTTCATATAAGGAGTTACATTCCTTGAGCTGCAAAAGGAGAAAAACAGCACATATAAGCATACAGGCCTCTCAGGAAAGAAAATCATCAGACCAATGGTGAGAAAATTCACGCCGTTCGCTGCAGCTGCGGCTGTGGCTGCAAGTCTCCTCAGTGGGACACTGTAGCAGCAGCCGCTGCATTAGTGCAGCCGAACAGCCTAAATACTTCTTCTGTTCTTTTTTAGATAGAAGATGTTTTAGTTTGCTGGTTTTGTTCTCAAATAGATGACGTTTTGGGGTTTTCCTGTACTGTTATTATCCCTGTTAAAAAGCTGGTTGAACTAACATAGTTAATACCACTTCCATTTATTCATGCGTCCCTACTGGATGAGTAATACAACTCTCTCTTCATCCTAAAAATGATTATGATGTTAAGTACATGTAAGCATGCAGGTTTGTTTCGCAGAAAAGGAAGTATCAGATCAATAATGACCCCAAAAATGTTTCTTAATACTTCAACCCATGAAATAAATATAATAATATAGTCAAGACAGATAAAAATTAACTAGTAAAAAGGTGAATGTAATTGGTAAATAAATTAAAAAATGGTACTTCTAATATAGCCAGGTGATTGACAAACCTGCTTTACAATCTCCTTTCGAACATGCTTGTGATAATCAGGTGATCTATATAGTTGGTCTGAGAGTGCACGAAACTACATGAACAAAACACAACCACATGAACATATGATTAAGAGTTTAACAAGATTGTCTCATTTCATCGAATAAATAGAATGGACCTGAGAAATTGCTTATAGGACAATATAAGGCTTTGTTATTGTTGTTGCTGTATCAAAGAAATTGAATGGGCACAAGAAGTTGGTGTACCTGACAATTTCCATCACCAGATACTCTCACCTCAAACAAGCCGTATGCATTTAGCCTACAAAGAACACTTATCGTGAACACATGTTGATGTTTCATCTATACTCAAAACAGGCGCAAGGTATAAGAGACTGAACTTCCATATCCACAATGTGCATAAAGTAAAGACCTCTCTAAATATTTGTTTGAAAATGCAGAATACCCAGGGAAATGAAAATTTTAGAAAAAAAAAACAGATCCAATTTATATGTTTTAGAGAGATAAATGGTGGGAAACACATCCTAAGTTGAATCTCCCACAGCTTGCATGTCAATTCATAGTTTTCCTTAATTTCTTCCCAACATCCCAGGTACAACCCCAAACAAAATTTAACACAAAGCCTTGTACTTTAAGGCTTTAACTTAGCTAAAGATTCGTATGAGCAAGACAAATTTTACACTCTCAAGGACAGAGATCTCCAGATGTTTAAAATATTAGTAATAGGAGGATAGAGTTAACCAATATAAACAACTAAACATGAAGAACGTTAATGATTGCAAAATAAGGCAAAATTACTGAAACACCTTCATGAAAAATGAGGAACCTACTTCCTAACGAAATAATGTGAATGCTTAAGCAAATAAAGGAAACTATAGTTCATGAAAAGTTACCTATCAAGAAGGCGATAATGGTCCATAGTGGCATCACTATATGTCGGGAAGTATGTGTTAATCCGGGGAACATGCTACACATGTACAGATAAAAATGAATACCAGATAAGAAGCCAGGGATATTAACTTTCTTTAATCAACTTATCGGTACCAGAAATGAAGACATTATGTGCCTATAAAACAAATAGCCTTCTGTGCAGGGAAGAAAAGGAAAAGGCAAAGGATAATACAAGTAACATAAAATTCATGGGACATCTTACAGGAATCGATGTTAAATTAGTAAGACGCTTGGCCATAGCACCATCTAACTTGGCATATTCTTCGGAGAGAACCATCGCAATCATCCTATCATCATCAGTTTCACTCCTCTGGCTGCTCATTGAGGTTGAGCTAGATGAGGCACCTTCCCTTGGAAACATATGTGTCATCTCCAACCTAGTGGTTGCCAGGATAAACAATTTTATATTAATGTTGGTACGCTAAATATGTTACAAAAGATCTTGAAGAGTTGAAAGAAGTTGAATATCTAAAAAGAAAGAAACATTGCAAATGCAATTTACATGTTGTACAACTATTGATATCAAGGAGACAGAACCTACAAAGTGTAGGCTGAAAAACTATATAACTTTAATGGAGACACACACACACACACAGAGAAACACACACACAAAAGGAAAAGGAAAAGAAAAGCATATGCAGAGAAAATGAAAAAGGCCTAGCTGAATGAAGTTCACTGTAAAATGTTTATTACTATGTACATGGTGAAATTATGTTTTTTTGTTGGCACTTGGCAGAGGAACAATGATTTGCATAACTTGTTTGTGCCTACACTTATCTGCAGTACTTTCATGTTAGAGATGTCTGATGGCATCTCAAATATCTTTCTCCTCAAGCACAGTTTGCATCCATTCCCAAGTCTTTCAGCATGCTTTTAACATATGGTATAATCAATTACCCATATGGACTTACAGTGATGTTCCATGTATGTAATACTTAAATCTTCATGTACGGGATGACAATGGCCTCCCAAATGTATAACTATATGTACAGTAGAGGCACTGATATTGCGCTTGAGGCACAAGGAACCATGATGATGCAACAGAAAATTTGATGGCCATCTCTCATGGATAATGAAATTTGACTATGTGCTAGCTAGGTTATGGAAAGAGCACGGAGACTAGTATTGTTCTGGAGGCAAAAAATTGCATTCTGAGGTTACAAATTGGAGCGCCAATTTGTTTCTTCTTGACAAACCATGATTAGGTTTTTTCTTGCAGATGAACCAAGATAAGGTTACTAGGAGTAGAAGAAGTTAGGAGCCTATAGTGATTCATCTGCACTTTTTTCACGGAATCCTGCCTACCTGTACTCTGGGGCAAGATCCCAATAGATTTTGCTTTCCAGTATCACCATAACTCGTCTATGAAGACAAAAAGTTCATCTACAGTTCGTCGCTGATTATCCTAGGTACCCACCAAACAGCAAACGAATTCGGAACACCTAATTAGCTCAATAATCTAGGCCGACATTCCTGAATTGAACCTTTGCGCAAGGAGGTAGCAAAAGATAACTTGCCACCGCATAATGTATCAAGACAAAGCCAAACCCCCACAGGGGACTCATACGTCGCAGAGCTCTCATTAGAATCAATCTCGACTGACTCCATTAAACTCAGCCAATCACAAGCCAGGATCCCCCCCGCAACCAGGACAGGTTTAGCTTCAATCGACGCCCAAATTCCCCACAAAAAAGGAGCCCAATAACGGTTCCAAATCAAAAGGGCAAGGAGGAGAGCCATACCACCACCGGCAGGAACAGAAGGGGAACGCCGGCGAGCTCGGCAGGAAAGAGGGGACCGCTAGCCGCGGATTGGGAGGACGCGCAAAGCAAAAGCCTTCTGCTTTGCGGGGGTCGGCGGTGAAATGGGGACGGGACGACGCTTTCACCTCTCGGTTGGGACTTGGGAAGAGAGCGCCGCGGCTGGCTTTGATTGCTTCCGTTCGGTTCCGCCTTTTTCTTGCGCTGGGCAGGCTGCCGCGGTTTCTTCCGCGTACGGCCTTGCCTACTGCCCAACCACCCAGCAGCCGATGCCGACCCGGTTTGACCGTCTGACAGATGGGACATGCCCTGGAGCAACCCGGTTGTAAAAGTAAATCCAGAGGAGCGGGTGCCTTCAGTTGACCATGTTTATTTACCGTCTGTTTGGTTGGAGTGCTGGAGCCAACCCGAATGGGTTCGACCCATTTTCGGGTTGTTTGGACGGAGGTTTGGGATGAGTTGGGTTCGACCTCAGAAGAATATTCTTTCAATATGTGGGTTCAGTTGCTCCGTCGAAATCTGGCGGACGGAGCCGCTTCGCTCGGGTTGAGAAATTCACGTGCGCTGCAGTAACCCCAAACCTTATCCCTTCACCTCCCCAAACCTTATCCCTTCACCTCCCCTCCACTCGACCGCTCCATCGATCACCACGCCAGCCGAGCCGAGCCCGCATCTCTCCGCCAGGTCGCGCGCCACACGGCCAACCATCACCGAACCCCGCCTGGTCCGTCAGGCCCGAGCCGCCTCACCGCCTCCAGTCCGCCTCGAGGAGCCGCCCCGCACGGGCTCGCCGGACCGACGCCTCTGCCGGACCGCTCCAAGCATCTCCGCCAGTCGCGCCGCCCTCTGCGTCGCCATCATCTGCCTGACCGCGCCAGTCGGCCCTCGCCCGGATCCTGCAGTGAGTACTGGTTTAGTCTTGTTCCGTTGTTACTTTTTCATAGCGATTTCATAGCGACTTCATTGATGCGATTGATGAAATGCCGAGAGGTTTCAGACCATGAGCAAGCGTCCCCCTCGACCCCGCTTCTTGATCGGCCGATGAGGCCAATGGGCATTTATGCACAACGCCTAGATGGTTAGGAGCACCCTTTTCCTATGAATAGAAACAAACTATGGATGGTCTTTCAAGTAGTATATTGTGCTCGGAGACTTAAATTGTAAGTAACTTTGAACCAAACTACATGAATTTTAAGACCATGTTACCTCTTATATGGAATTGGATGGGGTCTGCTTCTGAATATTTGCTTTTACCTACGATCTATATTGATTGTGTTGTTGTGCTTGATTGTGCTGCTGTATGTAGATGAATAACAGGCTCAAGGCATTTGTTTTTGCTGCTGCTGCACATTGGTTGTTGTGTGTCATGGCAATTGTTGTTCGGTCTAGGAAAAGAAAACGAGTTGCAAGAAGGGAAGGGATTACTTATGCACCAATATATGAAAGGGATAGGAAGAGAATGGAATACCTCGGTGACAAAATCTGGAAGGATGACACAACTTGTGTAAACATGCTGAGAATGAACAAAGCACGTTTCTTTAGGTTTTGTAAGTTGTTTAGAGATCATGGTTTACTTGAAGATACCGTTCATATATGTGTGTTGAGGAGCAAGTGGCAATGTTTTTGCATCTTGTGGGGCTAATGTTAGGAATAGAGTAATTGCAACCAATTTTGGTAGATCCGAAGAAACGGTCAGTCGTTATTTTAACAAAGTACTTCATGCTATTGGTGAGCTATGAGATGATTATATTAGGCCCCCTTCATTGGACACTCCAGCTAAAATTGAAGGAGATCCAAGGTGGTATCCATACTTTAAGGTGTGAAACTCAACCTTATGTCATATTCTAAGTTTATTTTTTGCTAAACCTAATTGACCTAATCTTGACTTCTTTGAACATCACGTAGGATTGTATAGGAGCACTTGATGGTATACATATAAGAGCCACTATTTCAAAGGAAATGCAGCATGCTTTTCGTGGTAGATACAAGCATTGTACTCAAAATGTACTGGCAGCCGTAGATTTTGACCAAAAGTTCATCTATGTGTTGGCCGGATGGGAGGGGACAGCACATGACGCACTAGTTTTACGTGATGCTTTAACACGTGAGGGTGGCCTTCGTGTGCCACAAGGTAATACAAGAACCTATGTCTTGTCCATAAATTTGTTCATCAAAATTAATGGATCATTGAGATGTAACCTAACTATGCATCATATGTTAGGTAAATATTACCTAGTTGATGCTGGATATGGAGCCAAACCAGGATTTTTACCCCCTTTTCGGGGTGTACGATACCACTTGAATGAATGGGGGAGGAATCCGGTGCAAAATGAGAAGGAATTGTTCAACCGTAGGCACTGCTCATTGAGAATCATAGTAGAGCAAGCATTTGGAGCACTAAAAAGTAGATTCAAAGTACTTGATGATGCCTCTCCTTTTTTTCCTTATGAAACTCAAGTTGATATTGTTGTTGCTTGCTGCATCATTCATAATTGGGTGATTGAAGATGGGAGGGATGAATTCAATATACCAAGTGACAACCCAGCACACCACATATGCTGGGACAGCAAGTGAGAATGCCATTATGCTAGCTTTTAGGGAAGGCCTGGCTGCCCAAATGTGGGCAGATCGTCAAAGCCATGGAAACTAGTATCGGTCAATGTAATATGTGTTGTATTTTTTTTCTTGGACAATGTAATAATTGTATTTGAGGGCTGAAATTGTATTTGAGGACATATTTCTACAGATATTTGATTGCCACGTTGTTTGCTACTTTGTTGGCATTATTATTTGAGGACATATATTGCATTGTTTATTTTGTAGGGGAATGGAAGCAGAGGGTAGTGCAGGGACTGGTGGACATGCTGCTTGGACTTCAACTTGGTCAGCCTACATGCTCGAATACCTTGCCAATTTAGTGGTTAATGGCACCAAAACTTCATCCACCTTCAAGATGGTTCACTACAATGGGTGTGCAAAGGCTCTTCAAGAGAAATTTGGCATTGTGCGCAGTGGTGAGCAGGTTAAGAATCACCTTAAGACACGGCAAAAGAAGTTTCGTAAAATATGTGACCTTCGTGGTTTGAGTGCTGCTGGTTGGGATGAAGATACCTTCACTATAACTCTTGATGATGAGCACTACAACAATCATATTAAGGTATTTGCTGAATTATTAGTTCTCACATATAATAATCTAATAATAGTTGCTGAATTATTAGTTGTCACATAATAGTAGTTGCTAAAAATGTACATATATTGCAGGATCACAAGTCTGATGCTGATTTTCTAAACAAGCCTATTCAACACTTTGAGGAGATGCACACAATATTTGGAAGTACCATGGCTACAGGCAAGTTTGCAAAGGACTCGGGTGTGCCTCTAGGTACACAGGAAGACAGTACAGATGACTGGGACGAGGTGCAGAGGATGGAGGTACAGAGTGATAGGAATGCAAATGAAGACAACAATGCGACAACTTCATCGGCTACCAAGGCCACCAATCCTAAGAAGAGGGACAAGGGCAAGAAGAGGGCCATGACTGACCAAGATCCATTGGTTGCTGCAATTAAATGGGGAAGTACCAAGTTAGCCAAGGCGATAAAGGAAGCGGGGAAACCTAACAATGATGTGCCGGATGATTTGTATGACAACTTGATGGCTATGAGTGGTAGTTTCAATTCGACTCACTTATCCTTCTACCATTCCTACTTGGTCCAACATCCTCACATAGCTAGAGCTTTCAACTCCTTGCCTTTTGAACATAAATTCAATTGGGTTGCAAAGCACATTGCTGACAACTACCCTGGGCAGTAAGGGTAAGTTGTAGTCATGGGATGGTTCTTTTGTTAATACCACATAGAACTTTATATTTGTGGTCTAAGTAAGCTTGTGTCTTGCTATGTGGAAGCCTTGAACTTGCTATATATTGTGTAAGGCTTGAACTTGATGCATCGTGCAAGCATCAGACTTGGTATTAGTGTGTAATGTGCCTATGGATATGGCCTAAGACTTTTATTTATAATATGGCCAAGACTTTTATATGTGCCTGTTATATTATTTTGTGTGCTGATCTTTGATGCATGGTGCAAGCATATGAAATATTGCTATGTGTTGAGCACAAATATTGCTATGTGTTGCATAAATTGAGGAGGGTAACTTCACCATTTCAGTGCAAAGGTGACCATATGCAGGTTCTGTTTGAATCCATCCAACCAAACAGAAAATGGGATGGATCCGACCCCATCTCAGTCCTCCAACCAAACAGAAGACGGATCGAACCCATTCTCGCAACCAAACAAATCAAGGGTTGGAGCCGTCCCCAAAACGTGGGTTGGAGCCACTCTCCAACCCACTGATCCCACAACCAAACAGACGGTTATAGTCCATTCGTCTCGAAGGTGGTAAGTTAAATTATAGTCCCTCCGTTCCACGTTACAGGATATTTTAGTTTTTCTGGATACGTTTCATTTGTTATGCATAGAGATATACACTATGTTTAGATATGTAGTAAAATCAATGTATCTAGAAAACCCAAAACGTCTTATAATTTGGGACGGATTAAGTAAATCATTTTAGATTTTTTAAATACCCTCTCTATTCTAAATTATAATAAGTCGTTTTAACTTTTTTACATAGATTTTATTATGTATTTAGACATACATTATATCTAGATACATCGCAAAACTAATGGACAAAAAAATCAAAGCGACTTATAATTTAGAACAGAGAGCGTATTTTTTTCTATGTACTCCTTCCATCCCAAACTACAAATTATTCTAACTTTCTTAGAGAGTTAAAGCATCTTAAGTTTGACCAATTTTATATAATAAAATAATAACATTTATGATAACAAATAAATATCATTAGATTTTTCATTAATTATATTTTCATAGTATATGATGTCATTAATCTTGTAATTTTCTCTATAATTTTGATCAAATTTGAGATGCTTTAACTCTCCAAAAAGTTAGAATAACTTATAATTTGAAATGGAGGTAGTATGTAGACGTAGATTATGTCTGCATATATTGTAAAAGCTATGTATTCAGAAAAGACCGAATACAATAATAATTTGAAACGGATGAAATAATACTTTTTGTCATTTAGGAGGAATGGCAATAGGTACCCACGACCCAAAATTCAATGAGCTTTTACTGTATTAGGGCATAAGTGTAGGCTAATTTACTTACCCATGAAAATGCTAATAAGAAAAATCCATACCCATTGGGATCATGGGTACGGTATGGTTACGCTCTATCCGAACTTGTAAAACCATGGGCACGTATATCCGATATGGAAGTATAATTCAAGCCATCTGCCAACCTAATGTATTTGTCCAACTAGCACACCTAGCGTGAGCAGCATATATACCATTTTTCTATTACATTTTTTTTTGACGCGAGGAACCTCCCCAATTCCCATTGCATAGCATCATTTAGAGTTTTATAGAGCAGTTTAAAGACAGTTAAGAAGATGACAATGACAGTCTACGACTATCGCCTGATTCAGACGACTAACAAAGCATCTAAACATTTCTGACATACGACCATGCAAGAACAAACTTGCATCAAAACAAAAGCTGCAACTTCACAGTTTTTAGAGGAGACAGATCCAGCAAAAAACAACCGCGAGCCATCAGCCCCAGATCCGATGGATATCAACACACCCTTCAACCTTGCTGATCATCATCCTGTCCGTTCTTCAGCTGA